TCCAGCAACATGAAGAGGGGGGAGCTCTCTTGCCCATCGGCACATTGAGGAATGGAAACGTGCCCGACGATAGAGGATGGTATAGAAGTGGCCAGCTCAGATGTCAGCAGTGGGCCAGAACGTGTCTGCAGAGCCGTGTGTGTGTGTGTGTGTGTGTGCGTGCGTGCGTGTGTGCGTGCGCGCGTGCGCTCCAGAAACAAACTGGACCCGTGTCTCACAATTACAAGTCCCCTTTCCTTTGGTCCAGCCTCATCAATATAACAACTCGAAGGAATCAAGCAGCTCTCTCAGAGAAAGGAGAACTGACATCTCTGAGAATTACAGACCTTCCCGCATGGGATTCTAGTTTTGATGATGGCACCATCTGCTGGGAGAAATCAGTACCAGATTTCCTTTCATTTTCAGGCAATTCAAACCTTAACAAGTACAAGAAATCAATAATAACGAAACGTATTTAAACCTCGTCAGTTACCATCACATATTTGCCCACTGAATGTGTTTCTGGTAATAAGGAGTGTAATGCTGTGTAATGTTTATATGATCTGCTCTCCCAAAGGCAGGCTGTTTCACACCTACTCTCAATACTGGTTTAATACCCAAAGGCTTGTCTTCTGGGCAGGGCCAGATTTTGGTGTTCGAAGGCCCTAGGCACTTTCACTCCGAAATGTGCAAAAAGAGGGGTAAACGTCAATTGAATTACATCGATTGACATGATGCACCTGAAACTATTGTAATGACTGGGGGATTCGCACCGAATGAAGCTCACACATCCCTGATGTGGCGGCAACAATACATTTATTTACCTCCGCCTGTCGGACTTTGACAGACAGAGATTGAAACTCCTCGAAGGGGTTACACACGGTCACTCACACACACGTAAGGATTAAAGAGGGGTGTAAGGATTAAAGAGGGGTATCCCAGTTTACGGTTGGTTACAAGGTCAAAGGAGCAAACACTGTCAACCATTTCTAATGGCTCCTCATAAACTCTCTCCGCTATTTACACTGCCTGGTCAAAGTCCAGCCCCTGGGCTGCTGCCCCCAGCCTGCCTTGTGGGTGCATCGCTAAGAGGAGGTGCAGCTGCTAAAGCCACCGGCGCGGCGCGACACTGTTCTAATGCTAAACCACATGATCGATGGAGTCGAGCGACCATCACTTCGATTCGTCTAGTTTCTAGAACAGCCGCTGATTTGGAGCACCTAGAGTTGATCGCATGTTGCTTCAGCTCATTTTTCATTAGTCACTAGTGTTTCCCTCCTTCGTAGCCCCTAAGAATTTCGTAGGCACAGTGCCTAATGGGAAATCCAGCACTGCTTCCTGGACAAGCTACCAGGCCATGTTGAAACCAACATTCAAGAAACAGTGGATTGAGATTCAGGGATCAATTAACGTCTATCTACCCAACGGGCTGGATGGGCCATATGGCTCATGTCCTCTGTAGCCTTTCTTATGTTCCTAATCTGACAATGTCTAGAAAGGTGCTGTGGAGGACCAGAGGCTTAGCTTTGAACTACCTTTGCAGCTGTGATGTTCTTAAATAGAGATATCAAGAAGCTCGTTTAAGACATTAAAGACTTAATCAATCAAACCATCATACTCAACTGATTTGGTTCTATTTCTCTATAACCCTGCAGCCACCTGGAGACAAACATTCTTACTTTCCCAGACCAAGTCTGAATTCCCCTGAATTCCCCATGCGTACTCTACATAATTAGATCCAGGATGCTGGAGCTATGAAACTACAGTGATAACTGCTATGCTATGTCCAGCTAGTGGAAATTTGTCGTACAAGCCCTGCTTGATTTTAGGAGAGAAGTTCATTCAGGAATTTCAGGGCTCTCTGTGCTGGCTGTTACTGTATGTGCCAGTCAGTCCTGTCCCCCTGACTTGTGAACCCACTGCTGATGACAGAAGACTATGCCCCTTCTAATTACTTCAACTGGAATAGACAGGAGGCGATGAGTCACACCTTAAAGCCACAATCAGTGTGCTATAGCAATAAAAGCTCTGTGCTGAAATTGTCCACACAGCGCTCACTGGGAGACCATTCTCAAGGCACTTGTCAAAGAAGGTCTTGCTACATAATTAATGTTTAACAGAAATGTAGGTGCAGCTCCGTGCACTAACTCCTGTCTTCTACTCTCCTCAAACTGTTCATTGAATTGAAATTCCCTTTTGTTCGAGGGGACCTTGAGAGCACGTGCCTTAAACTCCTCCGGAACGCTCTGCAGAAAAGACAAACCTGTGCAGAAAGACCAGCACTGTGACAGAGCTGAGGTTCAGGAAGTGCAGGTCTGCATTGTCCCTTATCAGACCACGAATCCCACAGGGAAGAGAATCAATGCCGTGTGCTGCAAAGCAGAGAGAATAAAGGGAGCACAGAGCTATTTAATACCGGGCGGCCTTGAGCACAGCAGCGTGAGAGCAGCTTTAGGTGTTTCGTCAATGAAAGAACAAAATGCCTTGTCACTTCATTCATGGCCTTCTATTCATCTTCCAGCTTGATGCAACACGCTTGCTAATGTACTGTGCGCCTGACAGGGCTGAGAGGAACTGCAGATTCTCCCCAGCCTGCGACATGAAGTCTCTTTGCCACTGAGCAAGACGAAGACTTGATTCCAGACTTGCATGCATTGAGCAGGCAGGCATTCCAGAGCACAAAACATCACCAGCAGCCAGGTTGGTCCCACTGCTTCCTCCTAAGATGCACAAAGTCAAGGGTGGCAGTGTGGCACAGATTCTGGATTTGTAACTGGAAGGTTGTGGGTTTGAATCCTAGTTGCGACACTCTTGTTGTACTTGTAAGCAAGGTACTGCACTCAAACTGCTCCAGTAAAATATGCAGCTGTGTAAATGGGTGCAAATGTACTGTAGTAACTTACCATGTAGTAACTCATACAAGACAGTAGCCACTCCTGTACAGATGGGGACTGTTAAATACATAAGGGTTTTTACTTGAAGTTGCCATTTTTATTGGATGCGGCCAGTGACACAGTGGCATCAGTTGCAATATGACAACAGGTATAGTGTCATCGGTTTATTAATGAATATCCAGACTCAGGCTGTCTTTGACAACCTCTGTGCAACCCTGTAATTTCATTGGTACAAAATCTGTCACTTAATGCCAACTTGACTAATATCATCACCAGCTCTTGGCAGGCAAACAAAGGCCAATTTGCAATATTACATCACTGATCAATCCACCTTCGTTCTATTATTGATCAGGGCCGCTCAGTCGGGAGTCCACGAGTACAGTGAAGATTCCTGATCAATAGTAGGACAAGCTCTGGATTAAAGCAACAGAGCACTTTGCTGACATTTCATTCTTTTACTTAATGAGAAAAATTATAAAGTGATATTTGCTAACCCCAAATAGTCATTAATTGAAACTGCAATTGACCCACTGCAGTAGGAGATGGGATGGACATTAACTGTAATGTGCTCCTTTCACAACCTTCAGACACACATGCACAACGCAAACACAAAAGACCCTGAACTGCAGCAGATAACCTGTAGATTATTAACACACAACATGTAATTAACACCGGGATAACACAAATCTCTGATCTCAGTCTCCAAAAAACAAGCATGTACCCAAGATTCTGTGTGAGGAAAACATAGCATGTTATATACACACGCACATATTCATTTTAGCATCACAGACGTCATTGCCAGAGTTTGGAATAACACTTGAGTGTCACTTGAACGTCTACCAGGCTGATTCAATTAGAACACAGCCTGCAATCACACTGGAGGAGCTCAACAAAATCTCACACCTACGCAGAACCCTGGCATTCGGCATGCAGTCACGCAGTCTGAGACTGTAACGGCTGCTGGAGACTCAGAGGCAACAGACTGCATTGTTGGACTGCAGGTTCAGCCTCTTATACTGACAAATGGCAACCTTTCACACCGGTCTACCGCCCAGCCCTTGTGAAATTCTGCTCTGCATTTTCCCCATTATATCACCATGCCAACACAGCCACAAGTTTGTCAAAACACCCCCATGGAGGCTTACTCTGGTTCGAAAAGTGGTGTGCAAGTAAACCATGTTGGAATCATGGTAAAAACGTGGTAAAGCATAGAGGTGAAGTGAAATAGCACACAAATATGGCACCAGTTTTCTGCCAGGCCAGGACCCAGTTAGCTCTGCAACAGTGCCCTCTTGTGGTACAATATCAGCCTGTGTGCTTGACGAGCTCCTTTGAGCAGGCCTCTATTCAAGCCAGGTTCAAGGCATCGCCTTCCCTCAGCACCAATCCTGACCTTCCAAAAACTCCACCCTGCCCCTTACCCCCACACAACCTTCTCGTGCTGGTTTGTGAGTTGATCTGGTTTGCATTCCTGCATGCAACACGTAGCGTCGTGTCTGTACTAACAGAAGCCATCCCTTCAGGATTCTGCATCAGCAGTTTGTCAACTGCGGCTCGTACTGTTCCAGCCCTTCAGCACCTGGCCAGTGTTGTCCGGCCTCCCTCACCTCTGCCCCCTGCAGGACCCGGGGGGCGCAAACTCAGAGGGCAGGGGTCTGAGGACTTGACCAGGCCCCCTGCCTGTCCTTCTCCCACATGGCCTGCAGTCACAGCACCAGGACTGACTGCTCAGAGCGGGCACTTCTCAGACTGCGCAGGCTTGATTCTTGTCTCCAGCCAGGAAATTAAAGAAATAAAAAAAAATAGTAATTTAAATGTTAATCGAGAGATGGGGTCTCCAGCCCTGACCTTAAATAGCTCAAAAATCTCTGATTTTCATTCCACTCATTTCCCTTTTACTTAATAGAACCAGTTATTTCTTGAAGACTAAGATGATCTTTAGTCACTGATCTATAATTCACTGGAGCCTCTCCAGGAACAGCTTGAGAGACCAGGGGAATTATATTTTTCCTTGGGTTTGCTGTGCCAGTAACGGGAAGATTGCCATGAGTGTTATGGAACATTATGACATCGCTGATGACATCACAGTTGAGGGCTGCACCTGTTTAAAAGTACAGAGCAGACAGACACAAGCCGTTCTGCAGGCATGTTTCGTGGCAGTAAAAGTGTGCACCTCGCACGAGGCCCAGGGCTTACAGACATACCTCATGCCAGTCAGAGCAACAGCAGTGTCAAGTATCTCGGAGACAGGGGGCCTGCAGTCACGCTGGACTGGATCAACAGCAAAAACATGAAGTTTCTGAGCGCAGCAAACCACAGAGAGTCGTTCCAGGTCAGTGATGGTTACTAAGTAAACAGAGGGGCTGGTACAGACGCTGTTCTGGGTGAGAAAAGAGAGACATCAGTAATCTGGCAGTGGATTGTTGTAATGAAGGCCTAAGATGCACCAAACAAGCCAAGCTAATGAGTGCACTCATTTTCCTAATGAAAGGCATATTCACACAAACAATTACAGTACATTACAGTCACACATGAACAGTTTTTAATTCAGAAATTATTCAACAATATTGGTCTAAGGCAACATACAGACACCAGGAGTGAACTATACACCTGTAGTAGCTGTCCAGCAGTATGGCAGACGGACTGTGGATTTCTGACTCATCTGAACACAAGGTGAACTGTTTCAGGGTTAAACACAGGGAGGCAGAACCAGAGCTCATACAGGGCATCCTGCAGAAACAGTGCCCAGACTTTAAGCAACAGGCTGTCTAGCTTTTGGTGACACTGACATCTGAACAAGGAGGCTTGTTACCATGTCATGCTCCACAACAAACTGGGGCAGCAGGTCTGCGAGTCAATCAGGTCTCTAAGCTCTTTCTGGAGCAGCTGTGCTGGTTCTGCCGACACCTCAGCGGTTGTGCCGGGTCGCTGTCTTCGTATGGCAGCACGGAACGGGTCTTTACGTTTCAAGCTCACCCCTCTCAAGTCTTTGATGGCCGTGTAGTGGCAGAAACCGGCGCCGCTGGAAACAGGTCAGGCAAGCTGGGCAGTGGCATTCCAGCCCCCGGGCCAGGACACGCCTCTCAGTAATCGCGTCCCTCCCCGAGACAGCTGCAGAAGCTGAGCCAGGCCCTGGACAGCAGCGAGAGGCTGGAGAAGAGCTGCTGGCGGCGGGAGGAGAGGAAGGTCAGAAAGGCCCTGAAGAAGCTGGTCCGCCCGCACAGGTTCCAGAGCCAGACCCAGTTCCAGGTAGGACTGCCAGCGCCACCGTACAGGAAGAAGCTGAGACCACTCATGCCTCTCTCAGTGCGATAAAAATGAAGTCCCCCCCCTCCTCTGAGACTGAACTGCTGTTTTCTGCTTGTCTGTGGCTGCATGTGTGTGCTGTCAGGTCATCACATAATTGTGTGCCTGTGTTGTCATGCAAGTGTGTGACTGTACCTTTGTGTTCTCATATTAGCACATTTGTGTCCTCAGAGAATGAGCAGGGACTCAGATGTGGGCGGCTGGGATGTCCTGACCCCTGATGCAGTTTCCCTGGACACCCAGGAGGGGGAGTACTCGCCCTGCTTCTCCCGGTCCCCGCACAGCACTGCCTGTAGGCCCCAGCATGGTACGATCCAGCATGCTAGAGCACATTTCATCATTTCTCATCACTTCCTTAAACCTGCCCTTTAGATGAGGGTGTCCTGTGTTGCTGCTGGAGAGCTCCAGTTCCTCAGGGCTCAACCCTGAACTCTGGGGAGAGCAGGAAGCCGAAGACTCTGCAGTTCTGGAGGAAAACTTCAGAAAAAGACTATTTTATTGTTGTAGCATTCTTGAAGTGCAAAACTTTAAGATAACCCAAGACACTTTTCTGTTAAGGAAATAAGTAAACATTTTTTAAAGAAATCCTTGCAGTGAAGAGATTTATCGATTGAAGCCTTATATACACAGGGCTCCCAAAAAAGAATGAAATGGCAATTGTAGAGTGTTGAACCGTAGTGTAAAATGATGAAAGAATGATAAGAGAGGTTTACCTGACACCACGTGTGCCGCTATCCAGGCTTGAGCAGCTCTCAGACCTTCAGCCAGCTGGGCATGTCTCCGAGCGCCCACAAGTGCCAGCCCCCAGCGGGCATGAGAGCCACAGCCAGAGCCAGCCAGCAGCTGGACAGCCCCCATGCCTCTCTGATCGGCAGACACCTCAGGTCATCGTGCCAGCTCAGCCAGGCGGCCAGCAGGACCAGCTTCTGTCCTGAGAACACATGCTCCGTGCCCCACCTGCCCGGACTGGCTGCCCGGCCCAGCTCTCAGCTGTCCCCAGACCTGCGCTGCTTCCAGGACGCCATGATGGGCTACACCACCCTGCAGAGGAGAGTCAGGGACCTGCAGACTCAGGCCCGGTCCACAGAGCACCAAGCACAAAGAGCCACAGCACTGCACCCCCTGGAGGCCCTCAGCTGCAGGTACACTCTCACAGCTGGAGTACCAGCTCCAGACTCACATCTCTCCAGACTGACAGCCTTCCTGTCCAGACTCTCCTCATCAAGGTGGAAGGCAGAAATCAGCAATCGAGTTATCTCCTTTCTCAGATCCCTGCCACATTAAAATGAAGTCCACAGTCTCCCCTCAAACACTTACAGTGTTTTCTGAGCATGTGGTGTGAAAGAGTCTCAGCAGCCTTGACTAGGTTTCTCTTGAATAGGCACAGCATGAGGCCTGCCAGTGAGGAATGTTTTATTGTGGTTGCATCAGCTGTAGGGTAACACTGCTCCTTTGAATTCAGCAGGGATCTGGGCATTGCCTGATGGCAGAGCACTCAGTCTGCTGTGGGGCACTGACACCCATCTCCCTTGATGCCACCCTTCATGGTGCACAACTTGCCCAAGAAAAGAGCTCCGAGGCGGCTGCCTGCATTAGGGGTCGGAGGTCACTCACTCCTGGGCCACATCCTCCCCTGGAGAAGCCAGTTCTTTCAGCTCCAGTGCACTCTGGGTGTTGCTGCCACCAGATTGAACATGCTGCGTTCAGTCGCACCCTGGAGAAATCAGCTGGCCCCTGGGCACCTGGGTCAGAGGGAGAGAGACAGAGAGAGTGGGGAGGGACTGGGATTTCTGCTGAGCTCCCAGGCTGTTGACTCTCCTCAGCAGCCCTGTCCAACGACCTGTCTTTAATAAGGAACAGGGGCAAAGACAGACACACGCACACACAGGAAATGCCAATACTGCCAGCCCTGAGGCACAGTCTGTCAGATCTCAGCAGAGAGCAGTACAAGCTGGAGATCTGGAAAGCCACAGTGACTGCAATTAGAAGGAACATTAAAATGCACTGAGCGCACACAGCTTTGATATCAGATAAGGAAATTAAACTTTCTAAATCAAAATCTTAAAAAGAAATAAGTTTGATCACTGTTGCCTTGATGTGGAAATATTTTGAGGACCTCCATCTTTCGCCATGCACTTAATATTCAGTGTTTGCACTGAATATGCAGTACTGAGGACAGAGAAACTGCATGAATATTACATCCCCTGTATCCATGTGCACCGACCTGACTGCACCTGCCACCTCCCCGCAGGTACCTGAGGCTGACCGACAGCAATATCCGCACACTGCTGGAGCAGTGCCGGGACTGCGGGATCCACGTGGACATCCATCCGCACATGAAGGACTCGGAGATCGACATCGGCACCATCTTCCAGAGCTCCCCCACGCCCCCCCCTGCCCCCAACAACCCCCATCTTCCATTTCTCAAGCTAGGGGCTGGTGATTTAAAACCTTAAAGATACAGGATGTGAAAGGTTGATTAAAGAAATGTTTTCCTTTCTCGTGCGATGCGATAACTAAAGGGCAAGCCCTGCTCCACCTGCGGAAGGAATGACAAATGTGGGAAAGAGGCTCACTCCGAACTGTGCTTTTGAGCCGAGCTTCTCACATCTGGCCTGATGCCAAAGTCCAGCCTTATGTCAAGCTTGAGATCTCCTTTATTTAAGAAAAAAACAGGGCTCTTGGAGAGCCAGACTAGCTTGGATGGCCTTATTTGACACGCTGTTCCCTCTCGGGTATTTTGTTTCAAGGTTAGAAACAGGAACAGTTTCTCAATTCAGAGGGTCACGGTGATAACAGAATCACACTATTGTAATGACAGCACTCGACCACAAGAGGGAGCCGTCCTAACTCACTGGCCTGCCGTCGCGCTACAAACCCATGAAGCCGCTACACGTTGCACTCCAACCATGCTACTAAGTCAGGAAACGACAGCAGTGTTAACGAAAGTAGTTTTATTTTTTTACAGTACAACAGAGGAGGTTCTAAAACAAGATCCTTGTTGTACGAATCTACCCCCAGGTCTTCATCAGCTTGTTAAAAAAACAAAAGCAAAAAGGGAACTTGGTTAAATAAACTATTTCATTGCTCTAAAACAAAACCCCCCAAAACATTGTATAGAATCAAAAAGTGCTTTTTAAATACATCATACAATCGACAAAACATCAGTTAAGGCAGACCAGCTCACGTGTAACAGTTTTTCAGAACAGGGTTAACAAATACAAAGCTGGTCGTTAATCTCAAGAACCAAATTTCCGTACAGCGTTTTAAATAAAGTGGATTTAAGGAGTTGCAAGTGCTGGAAAATGACTAGACAAGTTTTAAAGCTGAATTCTGCATGGCAAAGCAGTTTGAATACCATTGGAACAAGAAGGGATCAGCGTGCCTGACCTGCTATTGCTCACACGCGCACACCCACGTGCACATGTGCACACCCATATGCTCACACTCGCATGCACACACATGGACAGGTGGGGTGAAAAAGGTGAAAATGGGGGGCTTGAGATTGCAGACCCCCCACCCCCCAAAGCTGCCAGACCTCAGCCCTACAGGCAAGAGCTGAGCTGCAGGTAGTTTATAGCTGTATGTTAATCTTAGGAGGGGCGGATGGGGCCAGTGGAATAGGCTAATAAAGGAATGAGATAATAAAGGAATAGACTGGAAGAGTTTTCAAGGGGGACAAGCGGTCCTCTACACACAGTGCCAGCGACGAGGCCGGGGTGTGGCGGACTGGCGGGGGGAGGGTTCTCCTCTCTTGTAAGGGCAGGCGTGGCGGACTGGCAGGGGGAGGTTTCAGGCTGCCTGGACAGGGGGCGGAGAAACGAACAAGAGCAGGAGGCAGGCCACGGAGCCAGAGGAGGTCTGAAGCCTCTCTTCTTCCCCCCCTTCTCACTTTCCAGTGCGGAATCGGCCCTCGCTTTCCCCAGCCAGGCCGCCAGCGCCAAGCGCTGCCGTCGCGCAAAACTGAACCTGCTGCTTCCTCACCACGCTGACACAGAAACAGCAGGGGAGTGACACAACACCCTTCCAGACGCTCGCAGCTCTTAGAAGACATCGAAACCTTTTTTTGCTTTGATTTCGGGACATCAGGGGGCGGTCAAGTCAAGAAACCGGTGGGAAAAGAACGCAATGTTTCTGAAAACGGCCCGAGGTGCCAAGCCCAGCCGGCACCGACTTGTCTACCAGAACCGGAACCTGCAGCCGGCTGATCCAAAGTGCTGTGGTTCCGAGGGTCTTCTTTTCCAGCCTCGCTGAGCGGAGGTTTCCGTGTGTGAGGCGGGGGGTTGTTTCTGTGACCGGGGAGAGAGAAAGGGGGCAGGTATTCAAGTGCTTCTCCCGTTTTCACACACAAACACGAGCAGGGCTTCTCTTTGACCCCTGTGCTTCCGGCGTTATTGCATCGCGTTCAGTGCCAAAGAGCCCCACCTCCGGTCTTTATGACATCCGTGACGGCCCAGCGCCAATCAGCTCAGCAGCCCGGCACCCGCCGAGCGGCAGGACCGGAGCAGCCCGCCGCTGGGCACCAGGAGGGACAGAGGCTGGCACAGCTGCTGCCCTCGGCCCAGCTGGCCTGCTTTCGGCGCTTGACCACGAACAGGGTTTTTTTTTTTTTTAAAGTGACTACAGTCGCACAACTGCTTCGGAGGTACTGGTTCCGTTCGGCTGCGCCACGAAGAAGGATATGCTAGACGGTTCTGGTCCACCGGCGAAGTCCGTGCTCTGACGCTGCTCCCCTCTCCTCTGCGGGCGTCTCCGCTGTCCTGAGGTGCCGCCTGTGCAGCAGAGAGGGAACTCTCCTCCCCCACTCCCTGCACCTCCACCAGAACCCCGAAACCCCTTTTCACTCCATCTTCCGGGCCCACTTCATGTCGTCGCTGCGCGGTTTCTCCCCGGTCAGGGCTTCGATCAGCTCCTCCATCCTGCGCCAGAACCCCAGGCAGTCCAGGGGGTAGTTGAGCCAGCCTGCCGGACAGGGAGAGAGGGGGTGGTTTAAAGTGCTCACTGACGGGGCAAGGCTTGCACACTGTAAGTAAAGGCAGGATAATAATAATAATAATAATAATAATAATAATAATAATAATAATAAAAAAACGCAACGGGGTTTCAGGCAGGCGCCCTTGCCGCATTAGGTCGGCCCCGCACCATCACTCAACAGGGACCCAGCCCGGTGAGCCAAAGAGAAATCTCTCTACAGCCCAGTAGCTGTAGTCCTGCTATCACAGGGAACGGCGGTGACGTCACCTGCTCTGGTAAGCTGGCTCTTACACAGTACCTGTCGGCCGGAAGCGTTACAATAATAATAATAATGGGGATCCCCTCCACCACCACCAGTGTGTAGCCCCACCTGGATGATGTGACGGCAGCCAGAGTGCACCAGTACTCTCCCCACACACCAGCTCTCAGTGGGGAGGAGAGCAGAGTGATGAACCCAATTCTTAGAGGGGGATTATTAGGAGGCCATGATTGGTAAGGGCCAGGGGGAAATTTGGCCAGGACGCCGGGGTTACACCCCTACTCTTCTTGAGAAGCGCCCTGGCATTTTTAATGACCACAGAGAGTCAGGACTTCAGTTTTGTCTCATCCGAAGGACGGTGCCTGTTTACAGTATAGTGTCCCCGTCACTGTACTGGAGTATTAGGACCCACACAGACTACAGGGTGAGCGCCCCCTGCTGGCCCCACTAACACCTCTTCCAGCAGCAACCTTAGTTTTTCCCAGGAGGTCTCCCCTCCAGGTACTGGCCAGGCTCACGGTGCTGGGCTCCACTGGGCTGCCAGCTGGGAGCTGCAGGGTGATACGGCTGCCGGCTGATGTCTGTGGCACAAGACCCCACCGAGTCCCCAAGTCTAGATTCCCACTGCGCGGAGGTGGTGCTGCCCGCCTCCAGACGGCAAGAAGACCACAGCAGCCTGTTCCACTCAGCGTGGGCGGGAGGCCCGAAAGAATCTGGCAGAATCCTACTCTATGTTTCTAAACTTACGTGAGGGGGAAGGGGTCACATCACAAGCCACATAAAGTACCAAGGCTTAGGAGAGGGAAATGAATGCTAAACCGGCCTTTCACAGCGCCCGCAAGGCGGAGAGGACAGCCTGTCTGCAGTCACCAGCCACTGGACAGCCCCGGACACGGCCCTTCCCATGAGCCTCTTTCGCAGCTCAAGCGCTGGCGTCAGCCCCCCCCCTGGAGCCCCACGCGGCTCTGGTCCTGTCCCTGCCGGACGGCACCAGTGAGACATGCCAGCACGAGCGCTTCCCTTTTGCCACCTGCTTTCCTTCCCTGCGCAGCCTGTCTGTTAGCGCTGACAGTAGGTTACCGCTCAACATACGCGGAGATTGTCTGTCACTAAAAACAAAAGCGTGGGGCGGGCCCCCGGAGGGGGAAGCGGGGAGCCGTTGGAACAGCGTTGTGCGCGGAGACGAGCCGCGTGTCCACTGCGACCAGCGCATCTTCTAATCCCACTCATCATAGGTGCGCAGCGCCACAAACTGCCCCCCTCCGGCAGTGCCCACCTCTCCCTCTTGGGCACCGCTGAGCAGCAGAGGGGTCTCCTAAAAGGGGCACGTGCGATCAAACACACAAACACACAAACACACAAACACACAAACACACAAACACACAAACACACAAACACACA